AATAGTACTCTCATCCCTCCTCTGTGTAGCGGCTGCAACGCCGTCTCTACACACTTTGAAAAAGTACGAGGAGCCAGGGAATAGCCGAACGGCAGACGGTTGTACTGGTACGTTATTCCCTGGAATGAAAACCGCAGGAATTTCCTGTGTTGCGGAATGATGGGTACATGGAAGTATGCATCCTTTAGGTCTATAGAGGTGAACCAATCTCCCTGGTGAACACACTCTAGCACCTTTTTGACCGTCAGCATGGGAAACAGGTCGAGGATGGGTCTCATTCCCCCTGTCTTTTTCGGGATAAGAAAATAGCGGGAGTAATACCCCTGATTTTCTTCCTCCTGGGGAACCCTGGAAATAGCCTCTTTCAACAGGAGTTCCCGTAGCTCTGCTTGGAGCGCAAGACACTGTTCACGGGATGTTAGGCATGTCACCTGTATCCCGTTGAACTGTGGGGGGGGGGAGGCGAACTGCAGGGTGTACCCTCTGCTGATCAGCCTGTTCATCCATCTGTCCATCAAACACATGCGCTGCCACGCGGGCACGCATGCTCGAGATGTGTTGTGGTTGTCATGACGACGAGCCACGCCAGAGCCCTCGCCGCCGCTGCCCGTGAGGCAACCCAAGGTGGGCCTAAAGAGCGAAAGGGCTGTGCGGAGGCCTCCACACGCTGCGTATCACTCCGCCTCGCATCATGAGGCGTGTACACGCTCAGAGGATGGGTGGAGGTGTGTGCAGTAATATCCACATGAGGCGTTAACACTGCGCTCCTGGGCTTATTATGACCGTGTATAGGTGGCGTATCTCGGACAGAAGAATGCCGCGAGGTCTGTGGTTTAATAACTGAAGAGTCATAACCATCAGATCCCTGCAGCGAACCCTGCTGCCTACTAATCACCAGATTGAAGGCAGCTGGTGTAATTGCTGTGCTCCGCAGCTTATTAATCGATAGATTAAATAGCGCAGGCTTTTGTACCGAACCCGGCTGGCTATTAACCGATAGGTCATGGCAGCTGGCTCACCGGCCAGAGTGGGGCATATGTGAAACACATTTGAAACTGATGACTCAGCCAACATGTTGGGAAATAATCTTCTTTTATTTTCCTCACACTGTCTCCCCAAGCGTCAAGGCCGCTCTGCTTCCTCGGCGGCTCTCATGGAGCAGACGCCGAACGGGAGTACCTCACTCCCTTTTTAACCCCCTTCTCCTGGTGGGGGGTCGGAGGCCCCGTGAGGCAACCCAAGGTGGGCCTAGCGAAAAGGCTGTGAGGAGGCCTCCACACGTTGCATTCACTCCGCCTCGCATCATGATGCGCATACACGCTCAGAGGATGGGTGGAGGTGTGTGCAGTGATAACCACATGAGGCGTTACCACGGCGCTCATGGCTTATTGTCACCGTGTGTAGGTGGCGTATCTCGGATAGAGGAATGCCGCGAGGTCTGTGGTTTAATAACCGAAAGTTATAACCACCAGAACCCTGCAGCGAACCATGCTGCCTACTAATCACCAGATTGAAGGCAGCTGGTGTAGTTACTGTGCTCCGCAGCTTATTAATCGATAGATTAAAAAGCGCAGGCTTTTGTAACGAATCCTGCTGGCTATTAACCGATAGGTCATAGGCAGCTGGTTCACCCAGAGTGGGGGATATGTGAAACACATTTGAAACTGATGACTCAGCCAACATGTTGGAAAATAAGCTTCTTTTTATTTTCCTCACACTCCTTCCCAAACCGTCAAGGCCGCTCTGTCTCCTCGGCGGCTCTCATGGAGCAGACGCCGAACGGGAGTACCTCACTCCCTTTTTTACCCCCCCCTCTCCTGGTGGGGGGGCGGAGGCGGAGGCCCCGCGAGGCAACCCAAGGTGGGCCTAGCGAAAAGGCTGTGAGGACGCCTCCACACGTTGCATTCACTCCGCCTCTCATCATGATGCGCGTACACGCTCAGAGGATGGGTGGAGGTGTGTGCAGTGATAACCACATGAGGCGTTACCACGGCGCTCATGGGCTTATTGTCACCGTGTGTAGGTGGCGTATCTCGGATAGAGGAATGCCGCGAGGTCTGTGGTTTAATAACCGAAAGTTATAACCACCAGAACCCTGCAGCGAACCATGCTGCCTACTAATCACCAGATTGAAGGCAGCTGGTGTAGTTACTGTGCTCCGCAGCTTATTAATCGATAGATTAAAATGCGCAGGCTTTTGTAACGAATCCTGCTGGCTATTTAACCGATAGGTCATAGGCAGCTGGTTTACCCAGAGTGGGGGATATGTGAAACACATTTGAAACTGATGACTCAGCCAACATGTTGGAAAATAAGCTTATTTTTATTTTCCTCACACTCTCCCGGTGCCCCGGCCGCCGCTGACGGACGACCGCTGTGGCCGGGTTGGCTGCTGCTGCTGCCGCTGGTGTCACTGCTGCTTCACCGCTGGCTGTCCTCGCCTGGGACACCGCCATGGCTGCGCACAGCGACGGTGGTGTGTTCTGGATGGGCTCCTGCCCACCCCAGACGTCTTCCTCACCCGCAGCAGCTAGAGCAGGGGTGGCCAACCCGCGGCTCTTTGCCTAGTTTCATGCGGCTCTTCAGTTCATATCGAATTGTATATGTGTGAGTTTGGGGGAGAGACACTGACTCCTGACTAGTGTTGCACGGTGTACCGATACTTGAAAGGTACCGCGATACCCTGCCCTTAAAAATGTTACGATTCCTCCGTTTCATTAGTATCGGTACTTTAAGAATGACGGGGGAAAGTACTCCGGTGAGAAAGCGCCGTTTTAATAAGAGCCGTGTGTGTTCAGCGCTCTGCTTCCACTCCCTGCACTGCAGCCGTGCCTGCAGTCCCGCCCCTCTCAAGCACGCTCTAAGTCCCTCCCCTCTCTCGTGCACGCGCTAGCTGCCAGAGCATGTGAGAAAACGAGAAGCATGGCTGCAAGTGGGAGTGCAACTGTCGCTGCGCCTCGGCTTGTTGACAAAAAAGACGCCAGAAGCGACATTTGGAAGTATTTGAGCTATATCTCTGACAGTGAGGGCAAGCCTACGGACACCACGAGGCCTGTCTGTAAGAAATGTATTAATTTTATTTAATAGGAAATCTTGTCATTTATTTAATTTATTGTTCTCATTGTTTAAAAGTGTGTGTTATGGTTATGGTTCTGGTGTGAAATAAAGCACAATAATTACATTTAAGACTGTTTTTTAAGAAAAGTATCGAAAAATAATCGGAATCGCAATTCTTGACTTGGTATCGAAACCAAAATGTTGGTATCGTGACAACACTAGCTACTCCTGACAGTTAAACCTGATATTTAGTAGGTCTGTACTCTGTTAAGTATTAACGTAATTTGGCCGGTCAAAGTTGTTTGGGCTCGGATAAAATCGCTCCGTTACTTTCGTCCCGTGTTACTTTCGTCCCGGCTCCCGGTGTGTATGTGTGGTGTCAGGTGTCAGTATGAGAGGATGACAGCAAGTCTAATTTTGATGTGGCCCAAGAGCCAATCACAATAATACCTGCGATGCAGTGAACCAATCACCTTTGAGGGGGGGAAACCTATCGTTGATTAAACACTATCCAGTGTTTCCCCTACCATTGTTTTGGAGGGGCGCTGCGCCCCGCCAACGGAGCCCCGCGCCCCCCCCTGAAATTCAAGGTGTTTAAAAAATATATATAATTTTTTATTTTTTTATTTAAATATATATAGCACCAAATTGCAAATAATCTATAACTACTGTCACTTTTCACATTGAACATGTGCTCTTTTATTAAATAAACTAAACGCTTTCATTTTAAGTTGTGAATTTAGTGTTTTTTGACCCTAAGAAACACTGATGCATTAATCAATAACAATAATCCACAGCTCCTCTCTCTGCTCCAGAGGATTTAAAAAATATATATCCCAATGCCACAAAAATGCATCAGTGACGTGGTTGAAATCTTGTCTCCAGAAAACAAAAAAACGGAAACAAGCGGTATCAGTGCCTGTGTGTTTGATGTGGCTCTTTGCAGTAACATAGAAAAAATGTGGCTCTTAACCTCTGACTGGTTGGCCACCCCTGAGCTAGAGTGTCCGCCCTTCGCTTCCTGTCGGATGAAGGAAGACGCACATAGTGAGGACATGCGACCTGCTGGCTGAGAGCCGCGTCCGCGTGCTCTGGCCCCAGACAGGCTGCGCATATCGGATGCAAATCGTAGCTCATAATGTAGCCCGTATTGCACGAAGGGCACATACGGACACACTCTTTATTGCTCATGATGTTGCTTTTCTCGTGCTTCAGTAAACTGCTGGTTGCTGAAGAAAAGAGGGAGCAGATCGCCGGGCAACCTCCCTATTTATACCGGAAGGAGGCCCGAGGGTGGGGCCCACCTAGCGGGTGGGCGTGGACTACAAGTGTTTTCAGTACTGCGCGGGGGCGCAGAAGGGTAAACCCAATAGCGATAGCCTTAGAGGGCGAAGCCATATACGAAATAGAACATGACAAGGAGAACGGAAAAACACCCACACCTAGACATAAACACGTGACATGAAATAATAATCCTGACATTGTGTCGTCAGCACGTAGGCCCATACCAGTGTCTTGAAGTGGCTGCGCTTCCTCCTGGGCAGCATCCAAAATGGAGAAGAAAGAGAACAGACACACCACAGCTGGGTGAGGCTGGTGAGGCTGGGGAAGATGAGTGAGGGAAAGAGAGAAACAAAACAGGGGGACTAAGATGAGTGAGGGAAAGAGAGAAAAAGACAAGGGGACTAAGATGAGTGAGGGAAAGAGAGAAAAAGACAAGGGGACTAAGATGAGTGAAGGAAAGAGAGAAAAAGACAAGGGGACTAAAGTTTAAGAGAGAGGAAGAACACAGAATGTGTTAAATTAAATTAAATTAAATTAATTAAATTACACATTTAAAAAAAATAGTGTGAGTAAGTGAAGACATCCTTACAAGGAGGACTGCCCTGTCAAATTTAAAAGTTATTCTTGTTAAATATATCCTGTTGAGGCTAGAATCCAAAATGCAGAACCACTTTAGATTGTAGCCTCAAGGGACTGTTTAAGGTTACTTAAAAACATATAATTTCCCAAATTGGTGAAATGAACTCCATCTCTTAGAAATATGCCAGGGCAGTCAAACTTAATGCAAGGATGCCTTACACTCTCTCCACCCAAACCACTAACACATTTACCCATCTCTCTGTTCACCCACATTCTGGCCTTGTTCAGCTTTCCCGGATTGGCATTCCTCCAGTGACATCTCTCATTGATAGAAGATAGAATTATCTTCATCTCTGAGAAGTTGTCACTGAGGGAAAGCAGGTCCTGCTTCATCGCTGTGACAAGCTCCACACCTTTGATGTTGCCAAGGTCGTTGCCGCCACAGTGGATGAGCAAGACATCCGGGACTGTTCTTCCTCTCAAGGACTGATAGAAAAAGGGAAGAAGGTTCCTCCACCTCAGACCACCCTTGCCAAACCACCACACACGGCAATTGAGACCCAGGTTGCTTCCCATGGTGTGTCTGGCTCTTTCTTCCCCACGTCTAACGTAGCTGCTCCCTATTATCCACACATTGGGACCTAGATAGAATAAAATATATTGAAAAAGGAAAATAAAGTGTTTACTGGTGATCATCTTTTAGAAAAAGGCGGTACATGTAGCCTGAGTTGTCATATCATTTTCATCATATTTTTAAGACTACACAAGTTTAATTTGTATATTATATTACATATAACTCTATACTTGTATATAGAATCATGATGAAACTTTATAAGGATTAAGATTATATATTAATATTACATTAAATAATGCATGACGATTTCATGCATTATTACGAAGCAGGATGTATCAAGTCACTGACTTTTTGTGATAAGGTCACAATCAACTGATTTCACTTATCAGATGTAAAAATAAGGTACAATATATTTGTTTTTGCTATATGAAAGTAAAGGGTATGCAATCAAAATATTACTGAAACAAAATGAATACAAATTCTTATAAAAACTATACAGCACCTTGTCCAAGTATGGCGGGAGGCCCACTTTCCTTCAGGATTTCCTCTCTGGATGACGATCCGGCTATTTCTGCCATCTATAAATAAAATACAAATGATTAGCTCTTCACGCCTCTTTAAAATAATATGTGTTCTTGAAGATTCTGTATGCATCGTCGTTTACAATGGTAGGGACATTACATTGGAAATTAGTTGTGAAAAAGATATGTCATTTTTAGTTTTTTCATTTCACATTTATAGATTTTAAATACAAATATATATATATATAAAACGAATTATAAATGCAAAGTCTGGTTTCTAGAAAGTTAGCTAATGCATACAGAGTTAACATTTGTTAGAAATTAAAATCAATGTTTTATAGCATAATGTACCTTAAACATACCGTCAGTTTAAAGCTATTTTATTCTGGAAAAAACCGGAAGTTCTCAATACCAAGCTTTTATTCTGAAAATCCTTCATGACGACATCCGGGACTACCGCCCATTAGTATCATTAAAGTGGCTATTGACGCCGTTAACATGTATTACATATAAAGTGATGAAAGAGATAAGGAGGAGAAAAGGCATGTGGAAGTAAGCAATGAATGTAAAATGTCGAAATCCTCTGCTTAATGTAACAACGGACATTAAGATGTGGAGGGCCGGCCCGCAGGGAGGAGCCGGCAGAGGATATATAACAGCTGCACCTGAGCGGTTCGGCCTCTCTTTTCCCTTTGCTCACCAGAGCCAGAACAAATCTGTTTTTCTGAATGAACAATATTCTGATTGTAAACATACCCGCGCCTTTATTTTTAATTAAAGTACCAATTTGAAAACATCTCAGAGACTCCATTTAGTCTCCTTTTTAAGCTTCTCTTTCCTGGACGCGAGAATAACGATCACAGTTAACAATTGGTGACCCCGACGTGATCTTGCAGCACCGGGAGAGCAGTTGCAGTTTTCAAAGGAGCTTGAACAATGCTGGCAGATATACACTCGGGCCCATACAGAAAGGTAAAGAAGTACCTGTTTATTCAAAATCTTCAATAGATTACATAGTGAACAATAGGAGTGTGTGTCTGTCTGGTAAGTTGGACTCCTGAGAAAGACTGCCTAAATTAATGTTAAAACAACCAAATTTATAACAATAAGAATTCCATAACACGTGGCGTTGCATTTTCACAAGCAGGGTGAGTTCAAATTTCTTTTTTTCTTACATCTAACCCTGCATGCTATTAATTTGTGTGTGTGTTGTATTTTAAATATAAATGTGTGTGGTCATTGTACTTCGGGTAGGTGTCTTGTTGTGTTTTCATGTAGGTGTCTCTTGTTACGTTAGTAGTTAGTTAGCCTATGACGTAAGGATATATATGTCCATTTAACGATTTTTGTTAAGATCTATGAGACATAGGGAGTCAGTTAAGCACTGAGTAATTGAAAACCAACAAGGCATAGCGAGTTAACCCAGGGTTAAATAACTGAAGTCAGTGCTAGTCGAAAACAGTTGAAAACTGTTTTAAAAAAAGTCCTTTTCGAGAAAAGGCTTGATTAAGGTGTGAGCCTTTATCAGTGGTCATAACTGTTCTATTTTCAACCAAGATATTGCGGGTGGAATACGGTATTTGGGGTTACAGCAGCATTACGTTAAATTGACGACGGTCATTTAATGGTCGCTGATAGGTTTCCATATTACTTCCACCTAACGTGTCTAAATGGCAGCAGTTGACCAATAGTGGACTATAAAGTCAAATAATACGTAGATAGGTTTATGGCTTATGCGTAAGGGTTCCTATCTTTAAGTGATGATATCAATAAGATAAAGCCCATTTTTTCCATAGTAAACTAGATAGAAATGTTATTTTAAACTGCAGTGTTGTTTTGTGTTGAATTTTCTTGACAAGATTGCACCCCCGCCATTATTTAAACTCCCCAGTGAGAGCCACGAGGTGTTTTCAAATCCCTTTGTTCTTCAGGTCAAAGGTTGGAAAATCAGTTGCCATCTTGTCTTGTCCTCATGCTAAAAATAAACCACACGGCAGTCGCCATTTCGTGAAATGCTAATTGAAAGTACATGTTTTGACACACAGTCCCACTCACATGAGGCTAGGCACTCCACATTGAGAAGGACAAATCATATTTCTTGGCAGAGTTGGAACTATAAAATAGACAGGTTATCTTACCGTGGGAAGTTTGGTATTTGTAGGAGTCTGGTTTTGGAAATATTCTTGTTTGCAAGTGCGTATTGGCGGTTTTTTGAATATTCTTGTTTGCAAATGTGTTTTGGCGGTTATGTGCTGTGTTTAACCATATTCTAATTTTCTTCCCATTTTTAAGGAAATAAGCTTCTTCTTGTTAAAAAGAGGTCAGTTTTGCAACAGCTATCCCTAGTGGATTGAGCTGGAAATTACAACAGTGCACTCTGCTGGTAATACAGAATTATTACAAAGATACTATAACATTTTGAAGCTTGATTTTGAGTGTTATGAATGAACACATGCGCCAATCGCCAGGACAGAATTACAAAGTGGTTTCTAATTAAAAGATGAGAAACTTTACATAATAGACTTTCAAACTAGACTGTAGAATATTCAAACACCAATTGATTGAAGCTAACACAAATTATGACATTTACACAGTAGATTTAGATTTTCACAAGATTTCGATTTTCATATCTCAAAGTCAAAACGATACACTGTACAATTTTTATTTTAACATTTCAGATTTTAAAATGTGCATAAGTTTTTATCTTTTAATTTATTAATATTTTTACAAAAAACTTAAATGATAAAAAAACATAACTTTCAAAAAAAAAAAAAATCAAAAAAAAAAAAACCCTCTCCAGATTTCAAGTTAAGTACAGAGGAAATAGGATATTATTTATCAGGAACGAAGGTGCTAGTCGGAGGATTAGTGTTTCAATCTTTGATAACTTAATAATATTCATTTGAATAGGAAGAGAGCATGTCACCGAAAGAAACTAAGTTGAGACCAGACGCAGAGCCAGGCTCAACTGCAGATATCAAGGAAAGGGTAAAAATTTGATCAGATGCTTTAACCTTTCCAATTAAAAGAACTATATGGAGGGAAGATGAAGAAAGATTTATAAGAGTTACAAGTCTGATACTCCATCTGGAATATGCCAGCCTATTGGCACACAGCATAAATGTGGTCCGAGTAGCAGACCTGCCAGTGAGGGAAGACATAGCAGAAAAAACAAAAGACACCGTAGCTTGTAGGAACAAGACAAGGAGAAGGGAGGGGAAACTTCCAGAGAATGCAGGGCAGACACCTCAAACTGTTAAATCTCAGATAGTGCCAGAGAATCAGAAGCAGAACCAACAACCAGGAGGTTTCCAAGGAGGCACAGGCAGAAGACGTTTACGGTTTGAGGGATGTTACCATTGCAGCCAAATGGGCCATTGGGCTAGAGATTGTCCACAACAACAAATAAAACACCCACCACATGCACCAAACAACGGCCCTCCATGCAGATACCCCGGGTGAGGTTTCCATGATGACAACGGAGGCAGGGGGTCCCAGAGATGTCAAAGACGAACAGGGGTGCCAAACATGACCCAAATGCCACTGACACCCTGGTATCAATCACAACAATGAGGAAGCCCAGAGGGCCAGACCACCAGGTGATGCATCTTCAGCACAAGGGTATTTTGAAATCCAGCTACATTGAGCCATATCTGTCACCACAGGAGAGAGAGGTTTAATGTTTAATGTAAAACAAAATTGAGAGTAGCATTTGCATTTACACATAAAGCATCCACAGAATAGAACATTTAGCAGACTATTTTTGTAATTATGAGAAGGAACGAGATTATGAGTGATGTTGTTCCCCCACACAGAAAACTATTGTGTCCACACAGCTAGTGAGGTCAAGACGACAGGTTTCCACCAAAAAAAAAGAAGACTGAAACCTAGTACTCGCCCAAGACGGAGGATCCTTACCAAGTCCTCCTGTTTACACCGACTGCAGTTCAAGGGGCGGCGATACACCTGACGTGGAGCTGTTGAGACCTAAAAACAGAAACTCGATTCTGCTGTGGTGAAGTCTGGCTACAAAGGGAGGTGTCCGATAGGGTCGCTTGTCTCAAACCAGTGAAGAAGTCAACAAGAACCCAGCAGAACTAGAGAGTGACTGTTAGCGGGAGAACAGTGACGGAGCGACAGAGACTGGCACAACATTTTCCAGCCAGTACATAGATAGACCCCGTCAGAAGACCGGGGCTGTGTTTAAAGGGGAACTTCATTTATTGTTAGTGGAAGTGTAGTTTTTTTAGTCAAACAATTATGTGATTTATGGAGTCAGATTACATTTTTTCTCATAAACACAATTTTATAATCGGTCTGAAGTATCTGTTTTAAGGCAATGAGCTGCAGATTAAATAACATAACACTGATTGAGAGCTTGGATGAAGAAGTTGTAGGGTTTTTACAACAGTTTCAAGAATCAGTTTTTATTTATTTATTCTTGAGTAATTTTACTGATTTATAATGTAGTGCGTAAGGCAATATCTAATTTTGAGTGAGGGGCACCAGCCCTTCATGCATGTCACCCTAGGTGAGAATAGTTCGTATTTTCTCTCTAGTTTAGAGAAATATTATTTTATCATATCTTTGTTCAGCAGTATCAAACAATCCTCTAATCCTAGAATTATTGAGACGCATTAGCGACACAAGGGGTATTGTTTTTCGCAGCAACAATGATGCATAATACCAGGACAAAAGCCATTATTGCAACAAGTAAACAATTTGTTGTGCTAATGGCAGATTTGAGTAAAGATGCATTTATACCATCAGAAAACCATACATCATACATTTTTTGTACACCTTATGGGTAGACGGAGAAGTTATATTTATTTTGTGCAACGTTATGGGTTTTACATGTCCCGTTCAGAATAGGGTAATCATTGCAATATTAATTGAGCATGTTATGCTCAAAGGAGGGAGTGTCATGATTATACAGATATATTGATTTCAGTGACGTTGTAGTTAATAAATAATAACATGTAGTTAACAATAGGTCTCATAACGACAAAAGATATGCCGACGCTTGGGCCTCCTCCAAGGAGGGAGTGGTCCAGTTTTAGATATTAGACTAATAAAAGTAATGAATATGTCAGAACTCTTAGTAATATTATCCAAGTTTTGTCTACACAGGCTAGGAATACCACAGAGATACCAGACGAGACACCAGACGAGACTCCTGTTCGGCCAGGTGATTGGGTGAGGGTGAAAGTTCACAAAAGACAGTGAGCTGATCCCGGTGGACGGAACAGTGAGAAGTTGTAATGAACTTCACACGCGCTCCGGTTTAAAGGTAAAGAAAAAGGAGCAAATTGACACCACCTCACACATTGTCACCCTTCACTGGCAACTTCCAGAACATTATTGGGAGTTAGGACTGATTTGGCAGAGCTGGAACAAAACAATAAATAGAAATAAGATAAAGATAGAAACATCTCAAGAGACGAATTGTCTATATATTTTTATAGATTGTACACTAAAGTGAAAACCTATTTTTGCTTTACATCTGAAAAAGAGTAAAATTGTTGTATATGTTATTATAGTACTCATTATTTAAATTCTGTAACTGACACAATCAGGGAGAAAATAAAGATAATGTCAAGAACAAAGCCAAACCAATTGTGGGGTCCCCTAGGGATAAGAGTCAGAATAGCATTGTTGATTGTGCTCATTACATTTGGCACCTTTCTGGTTGGATGGGGAGTACAATATCAAGTAAGACATGGATCCATTAGTCCATTCATAGAGAATGCCCACATCACTAACAAAACTCCAGCTGTGTTTCAGAGACTTTTACTTATCCCCAGAGCCAAAAGATCAGCTGAGCAACAAGAGGAGGATTTAGAAATACTCGTTCCCAAAGGTGAGGTGGTTATAATCAAGATGATTCACCCCCCATATATGCAGTTCTTGTATCAAATGATGAGATGGGTTTAAGTGATCGGGATAATCAGTGATGGGGATTTACAGATTAGGGGAATCTCCAAATACACTGGATCCATGTTTTAGTCTGTGCCAGAAATACCCCTGTTAAGTTTATGAACAACCGACCGGTGATCTGAGCACAATTATTTAAAATGATTACAGTAGAAACAGGCTACTAACCCACAAGTACAGCTTTGTACGTACAAACTCTATGAACAAAATTCCCCAGCAGATTGTGGCGACATTGCAGATATGTCCAGTCACAAAAGTTACTTATGTTCTAAATAACAGTGAGATTTAAAGTGATGGAGAAAATATGGGGACGTTCTTTTATAGTGTGTGAAATATGTGGTGCTTGAAACATGTAGGTATTTTTAATTTATGGAAGAAAATGGTTTCCTGAAAGAGTTATTTGGAGTAGCCATGTTACAGTGGGTGAAAGCAATGTTTAGGGATATGGCACAACCATTAGTAGACATTAATTGAGTTTAGATTACATTTAACATCTAAGACAGATGGTAAGATTAGGAAAATGGAGTGGAAAGGATTGGATATATTTTACCTCAGTGTGTTAGAATTAACTATAGGTAATGCGTCCCGAGATCTCTCTCTCTATCTCTCTCTCTCTCTCTCTCTGCCTGTCAGAATGCTACGACCCCATCTTCAGACAAATGACCTCAGCACAGGAGACTCCTCCTCCATCGAAAAGACAGAGAACCCGAGCTGAACCAACAACGACCTGAGGCATCCAGAACCATCTCCACCTGAGGCATCTAGAACCAAACCAGCATGCTGACAAAGAGGCAAACTCTCATCGGTCCCTCAAACAGGACATGAAGTTCCAAACTGAGCCACGAGATTTGGCACAAGAGCAGAGTGTGGGACATGAGAGCGGAATACGCCCTCCATGCAACAGCGTAGAGACTGAAAAGGAGGAGATGAAATGCAAAGCAGTTGGGCCACTGAAAAGAGTTACAGCGGGAGGATCCAAGAGCGGATGGACTGAGGAGAAGACAGGACGGAGGGGAGGACAGAACCAGAGGAGTTGGCATGGGCCAGCAGAACGTGAGGGGGTCGTGGCTTGACAACCAGAGGGGGAGAGAAGGAACACGGGAGTAAGTGAGTTTACACATAAACACACTTATTAGAAAATAATCCTAAAAATACACTGAGGGTGGAACATATTATTAAATTTTTTCATCATAATAAACAAATTATTCTTATAGAGATTCTTATTCATGTGAGAATTTGGGGAAGATTTAATTTGTTACAATATAGATAGCAGGCAAATCTTTATTTGAATGGAAAATGTTAAAGGTAGAGCTAGAACCAAGCCAAAGAAAGTATTCCAATCTAGAGTATTGATTTCACCATTGTAGCATGGTTGTTACCATAGGAGAACTGTTAAGGTGGAAACAACATTTGTATGTCGTCCAAGATGTAGAGTTTTAAAAAGAAACTGGGCAAAGAGCGATTGAAAATTTTAATTTTGAAAAACTAGTATAATTGGGAGTAATACATGCGGGGCCTTGGATCACTCATTTTAATGGTGCATATTTTCGACAACAAATATCGTTCAGGGAGAAGGGGTTGCTCAACCCACCCTGCAGATGTTTTAAATCTTACTTGCAGCTTCAGAGTGAGCGCACGGCACCAGAGTATGAGTTTTAAAAGACAAGTGCCACCACCTCCTAATGCTCATCCATTTAATCAGTGATGACCTGACATTTAGAGATGTTATTTAAAAGGAGAAACATATCTGCCATGAGTGAAAATTCCTGAATTGAACTACAAACCATTAATGAAATGACTTCTGTTTTTAAAGTCCTTGTTAAAGGAGGGAGTAATTATCACATGCTCGGGCACCCAAGGTTCCACACACTGTTAAAGGGGGTCAGCATAGTTATTTAAGTAGACCAGAATTGAAAATAAATTAGTGTAATGCGTTAGTGATATTCCACCGGTTTTCACACCATTTCAGGGACTTTATCACTGCATTAGAACAGATCACCCAAAGCTACTGAAGTAGGAACTTTTAAGTGATGAAATTCTACAACTGTTGTAACTGACCAAAAAGTCTAAAATGCCGTACCCCAGAGTAGATGTTTGGTGATATCGTGGAACTAAAACCTTGTACTCAGTCCTGTGCACTAGCACAGACAGTGATGTTTTTTATGCAGTTAATCAACATGGCGAAACACCCCAAAGCCAGTAGGGCTAAGAGACCAGTCCCAGGGGGAGTTTAGGCTCCACAGGGTACAAGGATAACATAGGGGGCCCAGGAGAGGCCTAGATGTTGCATTTCCATGTCCTAACGTACCGATTGATCACGACGGCCTCTTCTAGAGAACATATTACTTTCATACCTTAAATGGTATGAAAGGAGGGAGGGTACATTTCTCATGAGGAGACGGTTACAAATGCTAGCAGAACAAGACAACCCACCCCCATATAAAGATGTTGATGAAAATGATGAGATTGTTCAATGAATGTCCAGCTGATGTGATACTTTAAATTATGAAATCATGTGAAGAAATGAGCAAACTAAAATGCTAAAATGGAGTGAATCCATTAATTCCAAGATAGTTTATTTTATTCTTTATTATTTTATACTATTCTAATATGGTAGATCTCATGTTTTATAAATCATTGCTATTCTAAAATGGTTTGTTTCTTTTCACTTTGTAAAAACAAGTGCCTTAACACTGAGCGTGGTATGAGAAAGGTTTCTGTGAAAGGAGGGAGGAAGAAATGTTCTGATACCAAGCCATTGCTGCTATTTTGGAGAATGATATTGAATGTTAACACTAGAAGTTAAGCACAAGGGAAAACTTTTATGTTTAAGCACAGTCAAAGTATTTTTTGTATTTTTGTAAAGTTGAGGCTATTGAACCATTCCATTTTGATTGTATGTTTTTGATATGAGTTATGTACTATGCAAAGTTCAGATGAAGAACTCGTTGATTTCAGTATTATACACACCTTTTAGGTGTGTAAGGAGGGACTGTTAGAAATTAAAATCAATGTTTTATAGCATAATGTACCTTAAACATACCGTCAGTTTAAATGCTATTTTTTCTGGAAAAAACCGGAAGTTCTCAATACCAAGCTTTTATTCTGAAAATCCTTCATGACGACATCCGGGACTACCGCCCATTAGTATCATTAAAGTGGCTATTGACGCCGTTAACATGTATTACATATAACGTTATGAAAGAGATAAGGAGGAGAAAAGGCATGTGGAAGTAAGCAATGAATGTAAAATGTCGAAACCCTCTGTTTAACGTAACAACGGACATTAAGATGTGGAGGGCCGGCCCGCAGGGAGGAGCCAGCAGAGGATATATAACAGCTGCACCTGAGCGGTTCGGCCTCTCGTTTCCCTTCGCGCACCAGAGAGCCAGAACACAGCTGTTTTTCTGAATTAACAATATTCTGCTTGTAAACATACCCGCGCCTTTATTTTTAAAGTACCAATTTGAAAACATCTCAGAGACTCCATTTAGTCTTCTTTTTAAGCTTCTCTTTCCTGGACGCGAGAATAACGATCAGTTAACACATTGCAGAACTGCTGGCATGCATACATTTCTAGCATTTTGGTTAACTATGAAAAGTATGGGAAATTACTGTGCAAACACCCAACATTAGCTTAGCCACAGTAGCGGTTGCTGATGAGTGGTTTGGCTTATTTTACTCTTTTATATGAGAACATGTTACATTACATACAGACATTAAGGAGGCAGGTTAGAAAATAAATATGTTTTCGTCTCTTACCTTTTGGAGCAAACTGTTGTCGGTTGTTAGCATAGATAGACTCTGGGGCGGATCTAGACAAATATTCATGGGGTGGCAAGAGGGTGGCAGGAGATTTTGAGGGGTGGCATCCCCTGACAGAAGTATATGCTGATTTAAATCGCAATCATATCAATCAATTAGGGGTGTAATGGTACCCGTACTGAAATTATTCGGTACGGGCCCTTCGGTTCGGTACACGTGTGTACCGAACGAATATAGCGTTAAACGTAAAAATTTGAGAACATGAACCACTTTCTGGAAGTAATCTCAGGTATATATCATAGAGCGACCAAGTCATTTCATTGGACGAGAGGCATACTATGAGAGCTGGTCACAGGGATGCGTTCAAATGTAGTCAGTAATTTGAGGAACTGTCGAAATGGCGAACGCAGATAAAGTTGAGCTGAAAATCCTCCAGCATCATTGAAGTCTCTGGTTTGGGAACATTTTGGTTTCGCAGTTACGTACAAGGATGACGGACAAAGACAGTGTGGACAAGTTCATCTTTCTTTAAACAACATGAAAATACAATGACAAGCAAGTCCTAATGTCAAGCTTGCTGTACTAGTACAGTTCAAATACAGATTATTTCAGTTCATCGAAATGCTGCACCTTAATGTTTATTTTACTATATTTTGTATTTATTTGAATACATTAGTCAGTTTAATAATAATTAAAAAATATATTTAATGTTTTGTGATAATTTTTTCTGCTGTACCGAAAACGTACCGAACCGAACCGTGACCTAAAAACGAGGTACGTACCGAACCGAAATATTTGTGAACCGTTACACCCCTACAATCAATGTTTACTTGAAAAGCCACAATATTAATATTTTAACTCAATCACATAGGTGATATTATTGTGGCACATCAGTAAAGCCTTACATATAAGGTGGCAGACGTAATTTAATGAATTTTTGACTGAACAATAACTGAATGAGTTTGTCTCACTCTTAGACCAGCAGGGAGTACCAAATCTATGCAGACTGCTGCAATAAGTACATGAATTAACTGTCTCATCAATGTTTGTCTGTATGAATATGATACTATTAACAATCATATTATTCCTATCAGCTGTCAATCACTGTTAATAAATAGTAATAATAATAGATTTAATTTGTTAGCGTTTTTACTTTACTTTCTCAGGACTTAAAACTGTTTTTTGGGGGCAGACCCCCTCAAAGAAAAAAATATATACACGCATACAAGGTCATCATCTTAACAGTTTGTTATTCTCATCGAGTCATCCGTGAGCAGAGCATCAAGTTGGCATGTCTATTACAGCTGAATGCGGCGATTACTATTTTGTTCAGCAAAACGCCTCACAAACTTATTAAGATCAACAGCTTTAGTGCGTTTTGATTCAATGCTGAGTACAGCCAAACTTGACATTCTCTTCTCTGTCATTGTAGACCGCAAATACCTCATTCCTTCAGTGCTTGGGTCCGAAAGGCTTCTCGTTTTGCGCCGTCCCCCCGTTCAAGTGAATTCGTCATATTTCCACTCTCGCGCCAGGACCGGGGGAGGGGTTACATGACGTGCATCTTGTGCTGCATTCACTTGCACTCGGACATTAGAGACTTTCTCTCATAAATGTCCGATGAGCCACAACTTTTCTTTCAAAACAAAGATGCCAACTGGGGTGGCAGCTGGGGTGGCGAGGCTATTGTTTAGGGTGGCAGTTGCCACCCCATGCCACCCCGGTAGATCCGCCCCTGGTATACTGTATATATAAAGCGTTGTCTCTTTAGCCTCAGTGACGTGACAGTGAACCCTGAACGTGACCGCGTGTGAAGGGGGAGGGGCGCGGGGGATTTAGGTCTGGGCTGCGCTAAATTCAGCCTCTCTTTCCAACATCTCCTGTGGCGGAAATCCACATTTCTTTGTCTTTGCAGCAAGATATTATAAAATAATAAAATGCCTTGTGTTGCCTACAACTGTGTGAACCGAAGTGAAGGGAGTGCTTCTAACATTTCTATGCACCGGTATGTGAAAAAAACATACAGTCTATAAATATATAACATTCTTTTAAGTAAGCTAATGCTAGCAAGCTGAATAATATGCTAGACTTAAACAAATAGCTTTAACAATTGCTAGTGTGTGATTACCACTCTCTTCATACATCTATGATCAGGGTTAGATTAGAAAAATAATTATGAAAGAACAACATATGATAAGTAGTTGTTTTGTGTCGAATAGTGAATTGTAATACCTAGTTAAGCCTCCTGTTAAATGTATTAAATATTCTTTGGTCAATGTGACACAGTGCATGTTTACCTCCCAACAGACCGTGTGTGTCTGTGTGTGTGTACTTTAAAGTATTTTTCCTAGATTTTAAAAAGGGGTACATTTAACCCTGAATGTAATAGGAGGGATAATAAATACAATTAAGATGTGCATACCACTCAAGCTATGATATAAATATGGTTACAGTTTTCCACGCCATGACAAAGCAAGGATGTGTCAGTGGGTCAAGAAGATCAATCGCAATAATTGGAAGCCAAACTCTAACTCCCGCATATGTGCTCTACATTTTACAGAGGAGTGTTTTCACACCGTCAGAGAACTGAAATCATCTGCTGTCCCGACTGTTTTTGCCTTCCCCTGCGTCCACACAACATCCAGGACACAGGTGGTGAGTATGGCCCCGAAGGTAAGTGACACTATTTGCGTATCAGAGGTTAATGACAGCATTGTGATGGAGGAAGTGCACGAGGAAACACATTTTGTGTCAGATGTAATCTTTCATCACAATGATGATGAACATTGTGTTGAGGACACAAAGATACAACATTTTGAAGTGAGTGACAGCATTTCAGCCTCTGCTGACCACACTTACCATAAATTACAGCACCGCACCACCAATGAGACTATAATACAGGAAGGTGCAAGTGTCAGAGAGTTATCGGACGATAATGACAACATTGTGATGGAGGAGGTGCACGAGGAAACACATTTTGTGTCAGATGTAATCCTTCATCACAATGATGAGACACTGGAACCGTGTGTTGAGGATTCACATGCACAAAACACTGCAAATCACAACATCATTTCAACCACTGCTGACCACAGTTATTTTGCATCTCCCAATAAGCTGAAACGCAAATTCGAAGTTAAAATAAACAAAATGGGTAAAAGATTGGTAAATTGTCGCAAAAAACTAAGAGTGGAAAAACAAAAGACCACACGTTTAAAAAGAAAAATTAACTGTTTAACTGAGGTTATCAGTGGGCTGAAGCAGAAAATGCTCATCTCAACAGGTTGTGCTGAGATGCTGGAAGCCTCTTTTAGTGGAGTTTAGGAATTGCGTTCATTCGCAATGACTCTGCATTTTTATTCCGCTAAAGCTTATGCTTATGTGCGTGAATGCTTTGACCATGTTTTGCCACATCCCGAAACCATCCGGTCGTGGTACAGCAAAATCTCTGCAGATCCTGGATTCACACAACCAGCATTTTCTGCCATCAAGTCTTGTGTCGAAGAAAGGAAACGTGAGGGAAAGGAAACCTTGTGTGCTCTCATGATGGATGAAGTGTCAATACGTAAGCATGTGGAATATGCTGCTGGGAAATTCCATGGATACGTGGACCTAGGCTGTGGCGTCGTCGATGACAGTTTACCACCAGCCAAAGATGCCTTGGTCCTTATGGTTGTTGCTATTGACGATTCATGGAAGATACCAGTAGCGTACTTCTTAATTGATGGATTGACAGGAGAAGAGCGCGCTAATATCATCAAGGAGTGCCTTCTTCGACTCCATGCCATCGGAGCTCGTGTATTGTCATTGACATGTGATGGTCCATCATGCCACTTTGCAATGTTGAGAGCCCTTGGAGCAAACATGGATGTACTTAACATGAAGCCATCATTTCCACATCCAGCTGATCCCTCAGACACAATCCATGCAGTACTTGATGTGTGCCACATGCTCAAGTTCATCCGAAACACATTGGCTGATCGAGGTACGTTGCAAACTCCAACAGGAAAAATCGGTTGGAAATTTCTACAAGAGCTGAACAAACTTCAGGAGGCACAGGGACTGCGACTTGGAAACAAGTTGAAAATGGCACATATACGGTGGGAAAAACAGAAAATGAAGGTTAAGCTTGCAACCCAGGTTTTCAGCAGCAGTGTGGCAGATGCTTTGGAGTTTTGCAACACACAGCTCCATCTACCACAGTTCAGAGGATGTGAAGAGACGGTTGAGTTCCTGAGAACTATTGATGCTGCTTTCGATGTCCTGAACAGCAGGAATCCCCTAGGGAAAGGGTACAAAGCACCTATGAGGACATCCAACAAAGAGCGTGCAGAAAAAATCTTGCTGAAGGCACAAAAGTCTCTCCTCGAACTGAAAGATGAGAAAGGCATACCAGTGCATGCTGGAAAACGGAAAACCTGTGTGGTTGGTTTCATTGCCAGCTGCATAAGTGTATGGAATGTTTTCCAGGAAGCTGTGTGTAAGCCAAATGCCCAGTGCCGTTACCTTCTCACTTATAAGCTGAGCCAAGATCACCTTGAGCTGTTCTTTTCGGCTGTCAGAGCACGTGGTGGATTTAACAACAACCCCACTGCAAGACAGTTCACAGCTGCATACAAGCGTCTTCTAGTGAAGTTGCAAGTGAGGACTGGAACAGGCAATTGCATCCTCCGCGATAACACATCCATCTTGGGGGCGACACCTGCAGCAGCTAACACCTTGCGCAGGTATGACTTGAAGCCTGTTGAGCATGCAGAGTCAGAGCATGATTACCACCTATGCCCAAATGTTGATGCTGTTTCTGAGTACAAGGAAGCTGCCATCAACTACATTGCTGGCTTTGTTGTCAAAAAGATCAAGAAAAAGCACAACTGCATGCCTTGTGCTGAAGCATTGACCTCAGAAACCACCGTGCATCCCTTTGTCCTCCTGAAGACTCGAGGAGGTTTGCAAAAACCATCACCTGGGATCATTGCTGTTTGCATGGAGTCGGAGCGTTGCTTTCAAAGGATTTTGAGAATAACCTCTGGCAAGCTCCCCCAGGGACATGGCTTAACATCAGCCATCACAAATCAAGTGCTGATGTACAGTGCAGACAAAGTATTGTTCCCAGAGTTGCATTCCCACATGTTCTAAACCACTGTTGAGGACAATCACGTACATGTACTGGTGAAAATGACATCCTCCATATATTGTAAAGTAAGGATGCACCACTTAGCCAGACGTGAGACAGAGAAGATGACCAAGGACATTGTCAGGCATCAATACACCAAGTTGATCCATTTTCATCACCAGTAGTTGAGTGTTGCTTGTTGTAATATGTTAGTGTGTGTGTGTGTGTGTGTGTGTGTGTGTGTGTGTGTGTGTGTGTGTGTGTGTGTGTGTGTGTGTGTGTGTGTTCCTTCTATATATGTATGAGCTCTGTATGTGTTTTATTTTCCTTATGACTGTTGTAAGTAAACTTTTTTATTCTATACTTCCTTCTATATATGTATGAGCTCTGTATGTGTTTTATTTTCCTTATGACTGTTGTAAGTAAACTTTTTTTATTCTATACTTCCTTCTATATATGTATGAGCTCTGTATGTGTTTTCTTTTCCTTATGACTGTTGTAAGTAAACTTTTTTTATTCTATACTTCCTTCTATATATGTATGAGCTCTGTATGTGTTTTATTTTCCTTATGACTGTTGTAAGTAAACTTTTTTATTCTATACTTCCTTCTATATATGTATGAGCTCTGTATGTGTTTTATTTTCCTTGTGACTGTTGTAAGTTAACTTATTTATTCTATATCTTCTTCTATATTTGAATGTATGTCACAGTCCTCTGTTTATTTATTGTTAAGAAACGCAACACATGGTTTTCAACAGTGGAATGATTTATGTGAATGTCAACAGCAACATCCCAAGCTTCTTTCTAGCCAATATTCATTATGTTGTATTTGTACCTTCAACTGTAACTGAAAGTTCAATTTGGTGTATTTTGTTTGCAAGTCTGTGTTCAACATACTACTTGGAGTACGCTTAACGCGGCACAAGTCTGTACTGAACATGGACACGCACAATTCTAAACATGTATTTGTTCATATCTGATACCAAATCTTGCAGCAATATTGCCACACTGGAGATGTATATTAGTTATTTAGAGTTTAGTGTTCAATATATTCAATGTGTTAAATGTATTCAATGTGTTAAATGTATTCAAAGTATTCAATGTATTCAATGTGTTAAATGTATTCAATGTGTTAAATGTATTCATTGTATTCAATGTATTAAAATAACTATCCAAACATTTTATATGTAAGTTATTTATATGTATGTAAGTGTTGTCTCGTGTGTATGTACTGTTTGTGATCGTTGTTGTGTCCTCACTCGTGGTTTGCACCTTGACGTGGTGAGTGGGCTTTAAACTAAGACAGGCCATTTATGTTTGAAATATCATGCTAACAAACCTGCAATTACAGAATTTAATGATAGTGGTTATATATGTTCATGTCTTGCTGACATTATTACAATTTTTAAAATGGTTCTCTTCTCTCCTGCAGTCAGCTGTGATTCCAGGTGTTCATGCTGCCGCCCGCCTCCCCCCATCCACCTCCTTTCATCATATCCAGTACCAGGAGAGCTAATCCAAAGACCTCATCACACCTCCTCTTCATCCCATCTCCTCATCAAATCCAGATCTTCAGCATCATCATCACCAGTGTCTAGACCCCGGGGGTTTCCCTATATGCTCACGGCTGCATTTCCCCTCTTAGATATACGATTTCAGGATCGGGGTCTAATCGCCAAGGACTTAACATTTATCATATGACATGTGTCAATAAATGTTCTTTAAAAAAAATGAAGTCTCTCCT